CCATCAATCTCCCGATTGCTGCCTGATATAGTTTATCGTCATATGTTGAATTTAGAAGCAGGTTTACCTGCAACTTTCTCGCGTAAAAGAAAATGTTAATCTTTTGCAAAAAAAAAAATGTATAAACAACAAAGATAAAAGAAATAAGAAAAAATGTATCTTTATCCTTTGTATAATATTCTCCGATATTTTTCATCGGTTCTTAAAAGCCAAGAATTTTTTAGGCAACTGAAAACAAAAATGTTATTTCACAAAACTCAGTAAAAAAATATTTCAGGAATAGAAATTAAATTTATCTACTAAGCTAAAAAGAAAATGCTCTTAGCGGGAAATGCTAATGCTCTAGATATCACCCTGGGGAGGAGTGGACTGCAAAACTTGGATGGTGGTGCAAAATAAATGCATTGATCCTCACAGAAATTGTAAAGCCTGCAAGTATAAATAAACAAAGATTCTATCAAAACAAGGAAAAGTCTTTTCACCCGATATGCTAAATGTTATGTTTACCACAATTAGGCGACCATCTTTGCAGACAGCGATAATAGTTGAATTTCAATTCTGTAGACATTTTTCTATTTTGTTATAAATCCTTCCCGCCAAATTCTATATACACAAAATCTATTCACACAAAGTTTTATTTTTTTTTATCGGCTTCCAAATATTTGCAAGTTTCTAAAGTTCCGCCAAAATTTGGTGGCTACAAATTTCATAATTTTAGTATCCACCCTGCCAAAAATTTTGCTGAAATAAATTAGTTTCCAATACTGTGTATATTAGTCAATTCTCCTGTTAATTTTTTTATATATATATATATATATATATATATATATATATATATATATATATATATATATATAATACTAGTAATCTTATAAATATAAGCAGCTATACTTGTCCAGCAAAACCTTAGGCGTTTTAGCTTGTAAATGAACAAACCAATACCCAAGGAGGGAAAAGGAGTAAGAAAAAGAAAGAACTAAGAACATGTACTTCCCGCGAAAATAATCGTCTAGTTCAGAGTTCAAAGAAAAAAAACTTCTGGCACGAATAAAGTAAAAATAACCAAGCAAAGTTCTCAATACGCTAAGTAGAACAAACTAAGTAAACCTAAAGAGCCAGACAAATCTACCTAGGTTTCACCTATGCGAATCGTCAGCGCGGACTGGCGATCCGCGTAGGTGAAACGTAGGTAGGTTTGTCTGGTTCTTTAGGTTTACTGATATATATATATATATATATATATATATATATATATATATATATATATATATATATATATATATATATATATATATGGATATATTTAGATGTTTACTAAGTAAGAGGGACAGTTTATGCTGATATGTGGAGAAGATAAGGGTTAACGTTAAGCGATTAAGATTATATTAATCAGGGAAGCATCCTCTTGGGAGTCGGTTCTGTAAAAAATATTACCAGCTGTGAATTTTTGAAGAGAAATAATATTACCAGCAATACATTATTACCAGCAATACATTTTTCAAAAAAAATATTAACAGCAATACGATTTTGAAAGGAAAAGTATTACCAGTATTAGATTTTTGAAGAAAAAAAATATTACCAGCAATACATTTTTGAATGAAAAAATATTGCCAGTATTACATTTTAGAAGGAATAATATTAGCAGCATAACATTTTGGACAAAGATATTACCAGCAATAAAAATCTTGTCAGCATTAAATAACCCATTGAGATGTCGATATGCCGTCAAACAAAACAAACAAAACCTAATAAAAACCGCACTTTTAAAATTCTTACATGTCCGCATTGCACATGAACTGCTTTAAAAAGGTACAGACAAAACCCGGAAAATAGGAGTTGATAAAAAAAGATTTAAGATAACGACACATGAAATAGCACTGTTGCCCGTTTAATCGGTTGTGTGTTATTGTGTCTTATTTTCGGCTTCAACCAATTAGATAACCTGTCAGTTACGGGAGTCTACTGCTGCTGCTTAATCTGTGAAACAAGTGAATGATGACGCTTGACGTAATCGCCTCGTCGAGTACCATACATATCGTCCAATTAAAATCACGGAAACACAAATTGGAAAATAGATAACAAAAGAATTATTCTTTATCTAAGCATTTAATCTCAAGCAAGGCAATAAAGCCACTGAGACAGAAGAGATTACTTAGTGTGAAAGATAAAGAAAAACATTATTAAGGAGCAATAAGAATAATAAATAAAAAAAATTTAAGAAGACAGTATCAGAAATCAAAGTAAGAAACCAGAAAATAATTCCACAATCGAGAAATGCAAGAAAATAAACTGTTAGTATATGACTCACGGTGGCATTTAGCCATTTCACTTGTAATATGAGTAGACATTGTCGTTAATGTTGTACTACGCTTAAATTCATAAAGTTTTTTTTAATTTTTTTTACAATAAAGGAAAGTTTGTCCGAACAATAATCATAATGATATTTGTAGAAAAGACACAAGGAAGTTTCATTGGTGCGATGGGAAAATGATTGATAACGCGATGGAAGGTCAGTACTAACAAAACTGCTAGTCATTCCGGGCCATATGTGGTAGCAATATTCGAAGTATGGGCAAGTGGTAGACTTATAGATATGTAAGATAGTTTTTGGAGAAGAAAATTGTCTGGTACGGCACAATGAACCAACTTTCTTAGCAGCAGAGCTAGCAATGAATTATTTCACAATTACAAACAAACCATTTGATCAGCTTCTTAGATTACCAATATAAAAAAAAGATACATACACAGGGTGCAATGGAAAAATTGTCGTCTAAATTTAAAAAATGAAAATAACATTGACATCTCATTTTAACAGACATATCTATCCAAAATTACATTGAAATACGAAAGAGTAGATTTATCCAATAAAATCGGCATTGGATTTAACCACGGCCTCCAGAATACTTCTGAATCTCCTGCAACTCTTCTGAACATCCTCCTTGTTTAAGTTGGTGAATGCTGCCATAATCCTTGCCTTCAATTCAGCTCTGATGTTACATGGAGTTTTGTTGGTCTTTCGCTCAAAATAAACAAGGGGATTGCAGTCTGGTGGAGTTAAGTGGCCAGATTTAAGGTGTGATGTGGTCGCAGAAATTGTCTGACAGCCATGACTGGGTTCTACCGGCTTCTGATGACAAACTTGATTATTTATCTTCATTGAACAAGAGTCGTTGAGTGACAAATGCTCGTATTATTTACACTATTTACATGCATACTATTGCCCTCCTCTTTGTTGACGTTGTCACAACGTTTCAGCCATTGAACCTTCATCAGGTGTACCTCAATACGGATAACCTACAGTGAATTCCGAAACTGAAACCTTTATTTACTTTATGGAAGTAAATATTTCTCGTTCCACTGCTCAATTTTCACTGAATCCAACTAGACACTGCCCTGCCCATGGATTGAACTCGCAATCACTGAGTCATCAAATTCAAAAACCAATGTTTTAACCCTTTCAGCCCTAACCACTGCTTTACCGATGGTAGAGAGAAATGACGCATTGCCCAGACACCGGTTGAACGGTAGGTAAACACTTGTAACTATTTCCATATCCACCGTTCAACATTACATATCAATTATTTGTGAATTTTGACTGAGGAGCTCAGGCAGAAGCGTTAAAATTGTTCAGGAACGTAGGGCTCAAAAGGCTAATCTACTAAGTTATTGTATTTTAGGACAATTATCTCTGATGTACTTGAAGTCTTAAAGCCAGGACCAGACCATGTATACTTTGGATCACTGGAAACAGGACGAGAAATATATACTAAAAAAAGAACTGCACAAGATATCCCTAGATATGAGACAGTGAAAAAATCTACAACCTTAGATTATATAAAGGCTTCATTTTAGAATTTTCTCGAGGTTAAACGGTTTGGTTTGGTCTGGTTTAGTTTGGTTTATTTTGTTTAACGACATATCAACATCAATGGGTTATTTAATGCCGACAATATTTTTAGGATAGATTCTTATGAATAGAATATGTATTCTTTAGTTTAGATTGGTTTGGTTTATTTTATTTTACGGCAAATCAACCTCAATGGGTTATTTAATGCCGACAACATTTTTAGCATAGATTCGTATGAATAGAATATGTATTCTTTGGTTTAGATTGGTTTGGTTTATTTTATTTTACGGCATATCAACCTCAATGGGTTATTTAATGCCGACAATATTTTTAGGATAGATTCTTATGAATAGAATATGTATTCTTTGGATTAGATTGGTTTATTTTATTTTATTTTACGGCATATCAACCTCAATGGGTTATTTAATGCCGATAACATTTTTAGCATAGATTCGTATGAATAGAATATGTATTCTTTGGTTTAGATTGGTTTGGTTTATTTTATTTTACGGCATATCAACCTCAATGGGTTATTTAATGCCGACAACATTTTTAGGATAGATTCTTATGAATAGAATATGTATTCTTTGGTTTAGATTGGTTTGGTTTATTTTTATTTTACGGCATATCAACCTCAATGGGTTATTTAATGCCGACAACATTTTTTAGCATAGATTCGGATAGATTCTTTGGTTTATGAATAGAATATGTATTCTTTGGTTTAGATTGGTTTGGTTTATTTTTGTTTTATGGCATATCAAACTCAATGGGTTTTTTTAATGCCGGCAATATTTGTTTTATTGCTGGTAAGAGTTGGACAATTGTCTGCATATAAATAGGGCAACTAATGATAACAGCTCATCGCAGAAATTCAGACAGAAACGTGTTGGTAAATAGATGGTAAATTTATACGTATTTTGATACCAGAACTGTATATATTTGTACACGAATAGCCAATCAAATTTATATATCTAATTCACCTTCAGCGTTTCGAACGGACACACATACATACACTGAGCTTTGTATATTAGAAAAAGGCGTTCAATAAACTTTCAGATGCTGAGTATGATACTTGATATTTGATACACTATAAAATCAATGTGTCTATATTTGTGAGACTATCTAATGCATGCACATATAATCCTGATTAAACTTATACGCACACAGAGACGCATGAAATGAAAGAGAGGTGTACATCTCCAGCCGATACCACCGACGAAGCAGAAGAGTCTCCTGCTAAATTGATATTACGAGAAAGTGAACAAGCATTTTCATCCTCATCAACGCCTGCGGCCAATGAAGAGAGTCACCGAGGCAATAAAGCAAATACTGAATAAATTGCTTGTAAGAAGAAATTACGGATACATTGACAAATATCTTCTGAAATTCTCGTAGGAAGAATTCATTTTATTCCATGAATTAATCGAACTCGTATAATCTTCCCCGTTCGTCTTGAGCACTAAATCTTTACAATTGCGATCTTCCACCTTCTGTGTATTACTTGATATGAATAATGATCATACGCATGAAAGATTCATTCTTTATTTACCACATATTTAATAATAAGAACACACAATACATACCAAAATGGAAACGAAATCTACAGCATTTAAACCTAATTATCGATATAATTATTTCCCTTCTTCTTCATGAATGAGGGTCAGTATAATCGCCACATACAGTCTTCTTGACTTCTTCACAATGTACGTTCATCAATTGAGTACCGTTGTTCTTTGTGTGTTTTTTTTTTCATAGGCCCAGATAGTTGAACATCTGTGATCTGTGAGAACATCTGTAAGGATTCCAAAAGAAATTCTGCAACAAATAGTCTTTGATCATTCCTTGCAATCAGCTTGCATTTTGTAGATTTTGCACATATTTTTACGTACTCATGCGTACATGCTTTCACAAGATGTTCCAACAGCGGATGTCAACTGTTATGAGACCATCAGTCGTTTTAGTAGTATACTCATTCTGAGCAACAGCTTGTCTGCCACTGCGGAACCTATCACTGAAGTCATTTTCTCTTTCTCTCTAGAAACCCAGTTAGTTATACATATCCAGTTCCTTGCTATATCCGCATCAAATCAAGTGCGACTTCCCATAAATAGCATCGTTTTGTGAATGTTTATATCACTTTCAAAAACAGAAATTATATAACAGTTCTTTGCTTTCTACGTGTGTCAATAGGAACGTCCAATTTAAAAATAATTATCGGTAAGAAAAGTTAAATAGCCTAGGCTTTTATACTCCCTGTTTCGGTTGTGAAGTAAAAGTGATTTTTTTTTATTCCATTTTCTTGAAGACTTCGTCGCTTCTCATCTGGTAAATCCATGGTAATACTCAGCATCCTTCTGAAGAACCATATCTCTGTTGCTTCAAGTCTATTCTTCATTTGTGAGTAGATTGTCCAGTATTCACTGCCATATAGGAGGACTCATATTACCTAACAGTTCAGTACTTGCTGTACCTACGGAATGCTCCCATCAGTAGATCGTTGCTATTCATGTTTTACAACGTTGGAGAATCTTTTCCAAAGTGCAGTCCTGGGCAGGGTTTTATGCTGCACAAATTGGCTACATTTAGTTATGGACTTCAATATGGAAGATAGTAACGTATACTATATATGATGCTTTCTAGTTAACAGAAAACATTACCTAACTTGGAAAAAATAAGACATAATTTTAAAAGATGTAAAACTATATAACATTATAATTAACACTTTTAAAAATTAGAACAATTCTTGCAAAAATTCATTATTTATCGAAAAACTTTTGTGGAGACAATACCCATAATATATCTAATTCATAAAAGCAATTAAAAGTTTGTTTTTTTTTCAGATGAAATGTCTTATGCTTTATCGCATTTTTTATTTTACGATTTGGAGCAAATTTTCACTACTTAAGTCTACTGTTTTACAAAAATAATTAGATTATTTAAATTCTCGAATAGATTCTACTTTTAACTAAGATAAACATTAGGCGTGACAAAATTTAATTTCTCAAAATTTCATAAAATTAAATAAGTGGCGTGCAACAGATGTAAAAAATGGTTTTACCAAGATTTTCTAAAAAAAATTCTTTCAAAAATAATTCCATTCATTTGTGAATATGTCCTGAAATAGACATTAAAATCAGACAATTATTTGATTTTTGCAGAAATTTACAATAAGATGTTTTTCACCACAAAAAAAAGACGCTAAAATTTCATATACTGATCTTTGGCTGATGCAAAAAAAAAAAAGAAAAAGGATTTTAACCAAAACTTCGAACATTATAAAAAGGCTAAAAACTATAATTTAACAATAAAAATAAATCATTTTCTCTTTTAACAATAACATAAATATTTTGATGATAAGACTGTTTTATTAAGTTTTGGGCATTTTCCTTTATGGTATCCTAGTTTTTACTAA